CAATAGAATCGGACGACTATGTCCTATAGCTTACCATATACATATATATACATATGGTATAACTGAACGATAGGAATTAATCTAGCAGTAAGATTCTTTCTTTTTCACTTTAAAACTTTAACTTTTCACTTGTTTTTTTGCTAGGACTAAACTTTGGAAACAGTAAAAGCCACAACTGAAAATCAGTTTTTCTTTTCTTGAGCGGTATATATTTGTAGGACAGTTGATACATATTTTCATCTCCATTACGCAAACTAGTCTCTCAGTTTTTAAGCTATCGACTTGACACACACCCTTCTTTCCTTTGCACGCAGTATATAAGTGCACCGCCGGGATCGGCTGACTATATCCATTAGCTGTCATATAAGTGATTGATCGAAAATTATATAACTTTGGTGTTTTTAGAGTTAGAGAGTTCGGATTTTGCATATTTTTGGCAACATAATACGCCCTACCATAAGGATCGGCCGACTATATCCTATAGCTGCAATATAACTGAACGATCGGAAATGACCCAACTTTTGTGTTTTTGAAGATAGAAAGCTGGAAATTAGTACAGATTATATTTTTGGTCAGATAATGCGACCTACCAAATTTCATAAGGATCGGCCGACTATATCCCATAGCTGCAATATAACTGAACGATCGGAAATGACCCAACTTTCGGGTTTTTAAAGATAGAAAGTCGTAACTTCGTATAGAATCTATCTTTGGTCAGTTGATCCAACCTACCAAATTTAACAACGATCAGCCGACTTTATCTTATAGCTCGGAAATGGACTTTGGTAGAACCAAAGATTATAATGTATATAGATGGGACATCTCATACAAAGAAAAATTTTCTATGGTGGTTTCCATCGCTGGAACCCGCTGGAACGAGCAGGTTACGCTTACGGACCTAAATTTCAGTCATATTTGTTCTTGGCCTACTTCATCTATTAGTCCTGTTGAAAAGGGGAATACCCGACTCTTAAGTGGCGTGTTCCTGGTTTTGTCCCTGCCACCGGTTCGTTTATAAATGTCAAGGATGAAAACCATCCCCCTCGCTAGGTTCGTGAAAATTATTCCTGGAAGGGAAAAGTTATTCGTGTAGCTAAACCGCAACTGGAATTACAAAGCGCGCTGTGCATATTCTCATAAGGATCGACCAACTATATCCGATGTTTACGATATATATCCGGTTTTAACTGCAAGGGTATATAAACTTCGGCTCCGACCGAAGTTAGCTTTCCTTTCTTGTTTTAATTTTAAATTTAAAGAAAGAAACCTTGATCTAAAACTCAGGTAGATTATGCTGGGGATGATCAAAAGCTTGAGTAGGCCTAATGAAACAGTAGGCCTGAGTTTTTACGCAAGCGCAGGGAGTGCAATACGTTGGCAGAGTAGGCTTTAAGAGGAACTCGAGGCGTTGGGAGTACACGCCCATCACCGGTGAAGTCAGCAAGGCACACAAGGGTATTATGCGCAGAGGATACAAGAACAAGCTCAAAAACGGCCCAGGACACTGCCCAGGAGCTTGTCGAGGCCACTAAGAAGAACAGTGGTCACAACAACATCCGGCACACGGGAACCACACGGTCGTTCAACATGACGAACAGGTGCTAAAGATGCATAACGATAGTACACGTGGCCAGAAGATGCATCAATGATCGGGATGCATTATCAATACTGTTCTGTTGAGCATGCGGACGCGGCGATATATGTAAGAACAATAGATGGTGGACGTCTAAACGCGACATCGCAAAACGCACAAGGCAATCCTGATCGGCGTGAGACATGTACAAGGGTTGATATGGTCGACCGGTGCTTAAGGGAGTGTTATGGAACAGAACAGCAATCGACAGTCGCCAAGCTTCAGCTTCAATTAAATCCTCTTCGGGAAAGAATTACAAACTCCAGGAAGTTTTTTCAATTAGACGACAACACATTCAGGCAATACGAGAATAGATGTAGATGAAAATAGAATTAAGAATAGCTGAAAGCGCAACCCATTCAATAGCTAAACACGAAATGGAGACAACCACGCAGGATCAGGCCAGGGTCTACGACAGAAAGGGACAAACTCGCATTTTTCATAGCACGCGTGAATAGGGTTAGAAATTCTGCCGCAGCGCTGCTGGCACACTGTCAGGTCAAATTTTTTTAGAAGCTCTCTCATTTGCTCCCATTTTGTCTCATTTGACAGCCCAAAATTAAAAAAAAAGATGTTTCCACGGAGAAAAATTTTACCAGAAATGTTAAACAAAATTTCGTACACATTTTATTTTTAGTCAGTTAATCCGAGCTACCAAATTGAATAACGATCGGCCGACTATATCTTATCGCTGCCATATAACTGAACGATCGAAAATGGTACCTGGTAAAAATACCAACTTCGGCGTTCTTGAAGTTAGAAGTTTGGGACTTTTTTTAGATTTTGTATTATAATAAATTGGGGTATATTATCATATTCTTATAAGGATCGGCCAACTATATCCGATGTTTGCGATATATATCCGGTTTTAACTGCAAAGGTATATGAACTTCGGCTCCGCCCGAAGTTAGCTTTCCTTTCTTGTTTTCTTTAATACTAAAAAAAAAAAATAATTATAAAAGAAAGAAAAAGTTCAAAGTCCTCACAAGGAATTGAACACAGAAAATTTGTACATAGAGTAACTACTCTATGCCTTACGCTACCACCATGTCTCGATCTGTAGCGATTAATAATCCTGCTCAGCCAAAAATTACGCAACCGCTCATATATCTGGCTAACCCAAAGACTGGAACAGAGAAACGTATATTTGTTCCTCGGTTTGCCCCGGATACTACAGAGATTTATATCTCGGCTTGCATGAAAGCTAAAGGGGGAGAGGCAGAAGTCCTCCAATCTAATTTACATTTGTTATCAATTATGACTACTTTGCGCGCGTGTTAGACATGTCATTTGGTCAAATTTACTGCGTAAGAAGCTTCTGGACTTGTGTCTTGTTTCAGATCCAAGTAAAATTACGCTTTTTACGCTCCAACTTTTGAGGTTTTTTATCGGAACCATTACTTTTTTCGACCATAAGTCTCCACTCAAAATTCAAAAAATTAGTTTCTTTGGTTGACTTATATGGCTGACTTTATGAAACTAAATAGCTAATTTAGGAATTTGACAGCTTCGATTTACTGGCTTGTTATCTTCATAGGTATCAAATATCGTCAAGATACAATTCAAACATCGCCCTGCATAAATTGTATTACATTTTAAATTTTCTATTTGAATCATCCGTCTGTGTTAACAAATCCGCCTTGGTATACGACCATACATTAAATTAAAAACTAGATAGGACGGCTATAGTCAAGTTTTCCGACTATATTATTCCCGGTAATCATCTCTTCCACCCACAATTTAACTAACCTTTAAAGTTCAAACTTTAACGGTATGGATTCTCAACAATACATTTTTGGTCCATACTTTTGATCTAAAATTTGGCATGAACTGCCTGGGTATTATACGAGTCTCCATGCCAAATCCTATAGCTCAATCTCTTATAGTCTCTGAGATCCACGCGTTCATACGCTGATTAAGGGGTGATAGATTGATAGATTAAAAAATCGATTTTTTTGATTGCATATTCTTTATGTATATACTGTTGGGAATACTCTCACAAAAATTCATAACGATCGGAGCATTAGAACCGAAGTTGTAGCTATTTATAGCGCACTACCTGCACATAAAACTTGAACAAACTTAAAACTTTAAACGCGATTATCTCAGAATCTTGTTTTTTCGAAATTACCTTTGCGGTGGACACGATTACAAAAAACCAAATTTTGACCACTTATTTATTATGATATTAGCTAGTCCGTGAACGAGGGATTTTCAATTTTTTTTAAACTCCTTTTTTAAAGCATAAAAATTAAAAATCTTATACCTTGAAAAAGTACATTTTTTGTTAAAAAGTCGCCATTTTTTTTTTTAAATCAAAATTTTTAAAAATCCCTCGTTCACGGACTAGACAACACAATAAACTAACTAAATTTTTTTGAATTTTGGATTTCGGATGAACCGTTCTCGGGATATGATGTCACCATGATATGCAAGACACCATCGAAAAAAGATGACCCGGGAATATAACACTTTTTTTATGTAATATTTTTTTATGAAAAAATTAATTTAAGTAGCCAGAAATATGTTCTAAACAACGTCGGTAAAACATTTTTCATAAATATTTTCTATGGTGTCAAAAAAAATCGGTAAAATTCCATTTTATTGCGCGGTGCAACTGTATATAACCCCTTAAGAATATATATGGGGTCGGAGATAATTCCTTCACACGACTACAAGAAACGATTCTACCGAGCTTCTGGTTCTAACTTCAATGTGCATAAGGATTCCGCGTTATAAAAGTTATATTCACTTTCGGATTCAGTTTAGTCAGGATCCGAAGCAGTTCTATAACTTTGCTTACGTTTGAAAAATCATCGGCGAACACCTATCTTTTGTAAAGGGTTTTCAAACAACGTATTCATCTTCCACCATTCTATCTCACACTTACCCTTATAGTTTCATCTAATGACATAGAAATATAACTCTCTTGTAACTATTTTTGTAACTATTTCGTTGAATTTTTTCCATGTTTCCCCTAAGAGCAACACAAATTACAAACATTAAAATTTAGTTTCATGTTGATAGCTTTTAAACTGAGAGACTAGTTCGCATAAGAACAGACAGACAGATGGACAGGGACTTGCTTATTTTAAGAAATGTAAATAGTTTAAAGGGTCAGAGATGTCTCCCTCACTACGTTGCTCACTTCAAGGTGTGCTGAACACCCTCAGCAAGGATACACTCGACATGGGAAAAGTTTTTTTTTCTGTAAATTGTTCACTTTTTCATCAAAATAATACACTCTGCCCTATTTTCATTGTAGGGTTGGACTCCTTACAGATTATTCTTTGGGCGGCTGATCCGATTTACCTAGTTCTGTATGTGTCTCTTTCTTCTTATCTTATACATTTCTTTTTATTTCCAGAATCAACAATGAGTTTATTGCCACACCTACCTTTGAATGAGATAAACTCCGTAAATTCAGCTTCGGGTTTGTCAGAGAACAAAAAGTTGTCAGAATCTAAAACAAAAAAAGTTTGCAATGATCCACACCAATTCAGTGAAGGTTCGAGTATGTGTAAGATGTACGCATTGAGCGATCATAACTATACTACACAAATTCAAAAATTATCCCATGATAATTTAGACGCCATTCGATCCATGCTTCTTAGTGTGGTTTTACCTAACAGAATTATGGTTAAACATATTCCAACTGACATATATAACTTTATTGAAAACACTATAAATAACTTGATATTTTATAAACTGGAATACACAAGTGACTTGGATGATAAATATTTTTTTGAGCCTGTGGACCTTAAAAATGTGCAGCAATATGATATTAAACCGAAAAGTGGACTAGTGCCCATATTGCACGATACCATGAATTTTGCGAAGCAGTTATTTTATGACTCGAAAAAATTTTTACTTGAACCAGATGAAAAATTTAAGGAATGGGTAACTAATAAATTAAAAGAACTTAAAGAAATATCTAACAGCCTCAAAATGTATACCTCAAATATGGAAAATTCCAAAAAGTCTAAACAATTATTGAGGAGTCGAAACAGAAACAATAACAAAGCCAAACGTAAACTGCTCTTAGACTCATCTGCTTCCTCTAAAACGGATTTTGATATAAAAAGCAGCTGTAATGAAATAAATATAGAAACTTCGTCTGAAAAAAGTTTAAATTTAAAGTTTTTATCCGAAAATGATTTTAGTAAATATACAATCTCACAAAAAAACTTTTCCGACGGCATTGATCTTTTTAAATATATAAAACTAGACATTCAGCTTAAACCTATTGCGCCAATTTCAGTCAAATCAAACACCAACACACGAAAAAAATCAACCGATTATGAGACGGATAGAGATATTGAAAGGTATGTAAAAATATTTTTAAATTTTGTTTTCTTTTTTGTTTGTATTTTTAAATTGCCTTAAGGTTAGTGTTATTAGTTTAAGCAATATACAAACAGAAGAAGGTTTGGTTTTGCGAAAATAATAAGCTTTGCTTTACTTTCAAATTGCGCTTAGACTTTTGCGGATGGGGTACTAAGACAAAAGAGTTTCCCTTGCGAAGACTAAGATCACGTTTTATTAAATAAGTACACGTTTTTTTTTTTTTTTTTTTTATTTTAACGTTGCTTTTATTTCTTGAATCTTCTCTTTGCGAGACTAACAAGAGGTGTATCAAATCTTATATTTTTAACTTAACTAACAGTCATATTGACTGATACGGAATTAGACGGCCCTAAAAATCGATTGCTGGGTTGGGAGGTCGTTGCGTCTAAGGCGGGATACGCTAGAAACCCGAGTCAATCCCCGAGCGAGAAAATTTGGGTGCGAAGACAGTTTTTCTTTGTATGACTCTTTTTGCTTCTGGATTTCGTCTTTCACTGCGAGGATGCCCAGATCCCGGTGGATGTTTTCGTTGCGAACATACCAAGGTGCCCCTGTGATAGTTCTCAGGATTTTTGATTGTGCGCGCTGTATGATGTCTATGTTGCTGCTGATCGCGTTCCCCCACAGCTGGGAGCCATACGTCCAGATTGGCTTTAGGACTGAATTGTACAGTAGTAACTTGTAGTCCAGGCACAGTGGCCATCGTGAGTTTATGATCCAGTGGAGGCTGCTGGCTTTCAGTTTTAGATGCATCTTTTTGCATTCGATGTGCTTACGCCAGGTAAGTCGTCTATCAAGGTGAACGCCAAGGTACGTTACGTCGTTAGCTTGAGGGATCTGCATACCGTTTAGTAAAAGCGGAGGGCATGTTTGTCTATTAAGAGTAAACGTTATATGTTTACACTTTTGTTCGTTTATTTTAATGCGCCAGTCGGACAGCCACCTTTCCACTATTGTGAGATGATTAGCCAGTTGGGTTGTTGCCTGCGTTGGGCATCTGGAGCGACTAAGGATAGCGGTATCATCGGCGAACGTTGACGTTGTTAGTTGTGCGCTCGTAGGAATATCCGCAGTATACAAAACATATAGACACGGCCCGAGTGCGCTTCCCTGTGGAACTCCAGCTTCGATGGTGTAGTCGCCCGAAGTAGCTGCGTTGCATCTCACTGAGAATACCCTATTGAAGAGGTATGATTCCAGTAGCTTGTGGGTGTATGTTGGCAAATACGTTTTAATTTTGTGCATGAGTCGGATGAGCCAAACTCGGTCGAAAGCTTGAGATACGTCGAGGAAAATAGCGCTGCAGTATTCTCGTTGTTCGAAGGCTGAGCGTATTTCGGATGTTAATCTGTTCACTTGTTCGATGGTTCCATGGTTTCTTCGAAAGCCAAATTGGTGTGCCGGGATGATATTGCAAGCTTCCAGATGTGGTATTATGCGGGTTAACAAGCATTTTTCAAACAGTTTAGACAAACAAGATAGAAGGCTTATTGGTCTGTATGATGACGGAATTGTGTGGTCTTTTCCAGGCTTCGGTATCATTATAATAATGGATTTCTTCCACTTTTTTGGGAAATAGCCAAGATTAATGATTCCATTAAATAGTTTGCAGACGACCTCTATAGCGCATTTTGGAAGTTCGATCAGCATCTTTGGGGTCAATAGGTGACCACCGGGAGCCTTTTTTGGTTTTAGCCCTCTTATGACTTTTTCGATTTCGTTCGGCCGGAATGGAGGTGCGGCTGGCTGAGGGGAGGACTCTGGCTGAATTACTGGCAGGAGGAATGAATTTGAGGCTGGGTTTGGCTGGAAGACACTTTGGAGTTGTGTGGCGAATGTTTCAGCTCGGTCTTCGTTGCTGCGAGCCCAGCATCCCGAAGAGTTTCTTATCGGGGTGGTCGTTTCAATTGGGGCACTAAGATTTGGGTGGGCCCTCCACAGGGGGTACTTTGTGCTTGTTGGCGAGAGATTCTGGATGTACCTCAGCTGTGCATTTTCTTCCTGTTGGTGAAGAGCCTGGTCGAGTGATCGGGTTGCTTCCTTAAGGCGTTGTTTTGAAGCTGGTGATCTGCTGTTTTGCCAATCACGACGCGTGCGCCTCTTTTCTCGCACGAGCTGTTCGATTTGCTGATTAGATTTGAAGTGTTTGTTTCGGTCTACTTCTTTCCTATGAAGAGTAGAGATTTTAGCTGCCGCAACGAGTACTTCTTCCAGGGCGCTCGTAGTGTAGTCGATGTCCGATTCCATGTTAAAATCCGGGGCGAGTTCTATGTGGGCACTCACGTACTTTTTGTATTTTAGCCAGTTTGTTTTTGTCGTCGTCAGACTGAAGGGGTGTTCGGTTATTTCTGGGCTTTGAAGAAGCGTTAGAAGCACAGGCGAGTGGTCTGATGATAAGTCCGAGACTGCTTTGGCACTTATTAGATTGCGAGGTATGTTTTTTGTCACTGCAAAATCAATAAGGTCTGGGAGCTTTCGTGAGTCTGTTGGCCAGTATGTGGGACTTCCAGGGGAAACATAGTCCAGTTTATTTTTCACATTTATAATTGCATTGTACAATTGTCTTCCTTTGGGAGTCACTAGACGTGATCCCCAGTGCGTATGTTTGGCGTTGTAGTCTCCTGCGGCTATAAATCGATCCCCAAGTGAATTGTAGAAGTCCATAAATTGTCCTTCCGAGATTGAGAAGCGAGGAGGGCAGTAAACGGCAGCAATTGAAAGGATTCCGTTGCTTGACTGAATTTGTACCGATGTGGCCTGCAAGAAGTTTGTTGCAAACCTTTTGTGAAAATGGTGTTTAATTCGTTCTCTGATTAGAACTCCAGTTCCACCGTGGGCTTTCCCATCTGGATGATCTGTGCGGTAGATTGTGTAGCCTCTTATATGAAAGTTTTATTTGCTTGTAAGATGCGTTTCCACCAGTAGCATAACGTCAATATGGTTTTCGGTCAAGAATTGTGACAATTCTAGTTTATGCCGTGAGACACCATTGGCGTTCCACATTGATATTCGTAGCGCCTGCATAGAGTACACGTTTTAAAAAAAAAAAAACCTACATAAGAGAATGTGGCTTTACCTCTGTGGCTTTAGGGGATCATTTTGGAGAATGTAACGGAGTTCCATCAAATCCACCCCGCTTTTTACTGAAGTAACATAAGGAGAACCATGATAGATGAGGTGTTGAGTCACTCCCCTCCTCTCCCATCTACGAGGGCTGACAATAAAGTAAGGTCTCCAACGCTGCAACTTCGCCGGATCATGCGCTAGGCGAAATATGGCAGCACCGCCGTGTTCCTTGGTTCCCCCACTACCACTTTGCTGCTGGGTGAGGCTTCCCCGACCGCTCAGTCTTGGTTGAAAAGTCATCATCGATACGAGCCGTAGAATCGATGGGGTTAACCTAGGCTAGGGTTCTTGGTTGCTGATAAGCGGCAACGGTACCCGGAAAGAAGTGATTTTATAAGCGTGGACCAAGTAGACCCTAGACCAAGCGTGGATTACAGTAGGATAGTTTTTTTTGAGTAGAAGATAAACGGTCGATTGAGACACTTTAAAGTAAATTTTGCTTCATGCCATGCTTCAGGCCAGAAGACAGGAGCAAACGGGCTGAATTATAAAAGGTGAAGTTTTTTAATAGAAGTTCTTAAAATATCGCCAGAATTTAAATTTAAGACTAAGACTAATGTCCGCAGCTGACTCCGACGACTTGATTTGACTATTTAACAGACTTGTGCTGGAGATAAAAAGAGCTGACCGTGAGCAACTAGACATCAGTACGATGGACCCGCAACAGTTGCATATTATCATAAGTGCGGCGATCACGGCTGCACGGGAGGCACAGAAGGAAGATTTCGAAGTGAAGCTGAAACAGGTCAAAGACTAGCTTAGGGCGGCAACAATGCCTGTCCCCAAAATGACACCGTACGAGACAGTAAGGTTCTTGAGCGGGGTAGAATGTAATGAGGGTCTAGATACCATAAAGTCTTTCCCAAATTTTATTGAATTAACGGCGTCCAGAAAATCTACGAAGAACCAGGCAGATCCAGTAGTAGGTTAGGCAAGGTTGAGGCGGCGATGCGGGGCCAGTCACTGACACCCCCATCCATTTGAGCCGCTCGTGCTCCTTGTGATACCACACAGGCAAGAGGTCCTACAAGGAAGGGGGCCCTCCTATCTACTAATGTGCCCAAGAGTGTGCTATCTTTCTTACGGCGGCTGGCGGTCCCATCCAGCTTTTCGGATGAAGGTAACGAGTTTGCGTGGAGTTATCTATTTAAGTGAAATTTAAGACTAAGATTAATGTCGGCAGCTGACTCCGACGACTTGATTTGGCTATTTAACAGACTTGTGCTGGAGATAAAAAGAACAATTAAAAAGAACCCGCTCTCAAATGTTTTCATTTTTACAGCGGGTTCAACGACGGAAACAGTGAAAACATTTGAGAGCGGGTTCCACGACGCGGCCTGCCAACATGCCGTAGAACCCGTACTCAAAGACATTTTTACAGCGGGTTCCACTACGAACTGAGGCAATGTTAAGGTGATTTTACAATTTTGTATTTTTTTTTATTGGATTATAAATTTAGGAAAACACATTAAAAGAATAAAATAATATAAATAGATTTAAAATTAAAAAAAAAATGGATGTCCCGAGCCTAGTTTGAACTCGTTTTACTTTGCCCACCAATCAAGCACTCTACCACTCGGCTATCCCTCATTCGTTGTCGTGCGTAGAATTTCTCAAACATAACTTGTCGCGCAATGGAACCCGCTCGTTCCAGCGGGTTCCACTGCTGGAACCCATCATAGAAAATTTTTCTTTGTATGAGATTTCCCATCTATGTACTTTATAATCTTTGGTAGTACCTACCCTTGGTAGTTCGTCAGCGGCGCAATTTCCCTCGTGGTCCCTATGTCCGGGCACCCAAATTAGGTGGATGTCACACTGTTCTGCCATCTTGTTAAGAGATCTGCGACAG